TGGGGAGCACCATCCCGGCTGGCTCACTGTCCTTCACTGTGGCAGCCCAGAGCGACCGGCCACCAACGCTGCTGCTTGGGTCGTCTTGTCCTACCACGGAGGAGAGCGGAGGGGCTCAGCAAGCGGGAACTCCAGTGCATACAGCTAAGCGAGACTCATGTTTGTCAGACGTCATATCCTGATAAGTGCCAGGGATGCAGCGATGAATAGAACGTGCTCTTTGTCCTTGGGAGTCAAACACTGGCTGAAGGAAAAATACACACGTGCAAATAGACACCATGTTACTGTCAGTGCTCTGAGGAGGACATGTGCAAGAGACAATGAGAACTAATGGAAGAGATTTTAAATCTAACTGAAAGAGGGCAGGTGGGAGCAGAGAAAGTCCTCGGAGAAAGGGGCATGCTGGAAAGAGTGGTAAGGGATTCTCTGACTCGCTCTTCCTTGAATGACTGTCTTGGAGGGGAAGCGTGAATGAGCGTGGCCAGTCTGGGGCACTGTCAGCGCGGAAGGAAAGAGCCACCGACAGGCTACACGGGCAGGCAGCATAACATCAGAGCTTCCCTCCTCCCCAGGGGTCTTAGGCGTTTGGATTTATGTGCCGTGCGGTCCTGTGTGGGTAGCCTTGAGGGGGGAGGGCAGGAAGGGAGCCGCGGTATCACGATAGTGCTCGGCAGGCATGGGGGGCTTGAGGGGACGATGGGTGACAGTGGAGAATAGGGGAATGTACTTTGGGGAAGTGGTATTTATAGGACTCGATGGCGATGACCATAAGAGAAGAAAGAGAGGAGTCCAGGTGTCCTCTCCATGAGGCGCCTGGGAGTGGAATGGGAGCAAGGCCATCTAACAGGCTGATGTGTAATGGTTTGAGGAAGGTAGATGATGAGTTCAGCTTTGAAAATGTTAAGTTTGAGGCACCAGCATAACATCTATGTCTAAACCCCAAGGGGCACCATTAGTGGGATGACAGGTAAAAAATGTGGATTTCAGAGAAGCGTATTTGCCTCTGCAACCATTTCAAGGAGCACACCTGAATTCAGATCACAGATGAGAAGACGTACTGCACGCGTCCTATTCCACCCGCTTTTGCAGACCTCCTCCTCTGGCAAGCTTTCGATTGAATTAGAACATTTCGCAGCTACTCAGGGACTTGGTCGCTGATGATGTCTTATTCCCTTCTGGCTAAGTAGCAGCTAAGGCTTCTGTAAAGTTTGTCTACTGTTTTATAATATAGATAGGCACTATGTTCTGAGCAAACTAAACAGTATAATGAATATGTTTATAATAAATAGCTATTAAAATGATCTATTTAGCACAAGAGAGAAAGCTTTTGGAGATGTCTTATTGGTCTTTGAATTCATTAGTACCTGGCCAAGGACCTCCTGTGCGGGTGCTCTAAATATTTGGGAGTAGTTGGATTTGCTTCTAGAGGCCTGTTCCAACGTGGAACAGCAGTGGAGAGAGAACTCGGCTTGAAGTCAGGAGACTCTGCAGCCAGACCCAGATTCGCTGCTCTGTGGGGGAGGCTTTTAACCTCTGAAACTTAGATTTGTTGTATGTATAATAAAAATAAATCTTGGTTGGCAAATTTTTTTGAGAATTAAATAGAATATAGACTATAAGAACATTCTATAAATTGTACTCTATGGGATAGTTATTTGCAGTTCTTAATTATGCAATTCTTACTACAATTCTTAATGATCCCAAAGGACTCTCAATAAATGAAAACAGAGTGTGGAAAGCGAGTCTGTTCAGCTCCTGACCTGCTGTAGAGCAGACCTCAAGTCGAATTCTGCAACATCATGTGGCAGGTGTTATGGACTAGGCTTTACTGGGGACAGGACAACCAGAGAAGAGCAGACGCAGACCCCCAGCCCCATCATTCCTCAGAGAGGTGGTAGAGCCAGGCTGTTCTGCCGAATGCACCAAGGGTGAGTGTTCTGAGGAAGCCCCTGCTTCTCTCACTTCCCACAGGGCGAGAATGAGAACAACCTTGCCAGCAGGGAAATCACATGTATTGGGGGCCAGGTGGTCTGGGTGCCTGCTGTTTACAGGTGTTGTCTGGGAGTCTGTGCCTTCCAGGAAGAGGGAGGAAGCCACGGCCCCTTCTGGAAGCTGCCTGGCGGTACAGCTTCCCTGACCAGGAGAAGCGAGTGAAGAACATTGTTCAGGCAACCCAGAGTACACTGCTACAATAATCGCTGTTCAGTGCTTTTCAGCCACACACACAGAAGAGCTGGGAGATTCAGAAAAAGGAAAATTTACCATATATATCCAAGGGAAATTCTTATATGTGAAACCACATTTGTTGTAATGTTAGGGTAACAATA